CCTGACAGACCTTGTCATTAGAGCAAAGCTGCAATGGCTCAGACCAAAACAAATCCTGACATCAGCAGGGTCAGACAGAGTTTCTCTAACAATGCATACTTTGAGGGCACACCCATGGCTGGATCCCCAAGCTTGCTCTTGCTTTTTAAGTTGGAAAGTATTATCTGCTAAAGCATTAGCAGTTTGGCATTATGGGAAGGTAATCCCTCCTGGACTGTTTCCTACTGTGACTGGATGGGCCATGGCTAATCTTGGCTCTAGGATATTTTGCACTTGAGCTACAGGAGAGGACTTAATCTCTGGATCTGGAAAGACTACTCTTCTGTCTTGGCATTCAGAACAATTCAAGAAATTTTGGTAACCCTGAACTACCCAGCAGTCCTGTCCTAATGTTACACATGGTTTATGCAAACATGAGTACAATCACGTCCCATCCATCACATTTCTATGATTGTCATTCTCTGCCTTAGATCACAGAATCACAGAGTGGTTTGGGTTGAAAGGGACCTTGAAGATCATCTAATTCCAATCCCCCTGCCATAGGCTGGGGCACCTTCCACTAGACCATAGCCCATCCAGCCTGGCCTTGAACACTTCCAGGGATGAGGCACCCACAACTTCTCTGGGCAACCTGTTCCAATATTTCATCACCCTTACACTAAAGCATTTCTTCCTAATATTTAATCTAAACCTACTCTCTTTCAGTTTGAAGCCATTCCCCCATGTCCTATCACTGCATGCCCTTGTGAAAAGTCCCTCTCAAGCCTTCCTGTAGGCCTCCCTTTCAGTGCTGGAAGGTGCTCCAATGTCTCCCTGGAGCCTTCTCTTCTCCAGGTGAAACGAACCCAGCTCTCTCAGCCTCCAACCTCAAGGGGCATGGGGTGTTCCAGCCCTCTGATCATCTTTGTACCCTCCTCTGGACCAGCTCCAGAGATCTCTCTCTGTCCGAGCACCATGTCTTTCCTGTGCTGAGCACTCCAGAGCTGGATAAAGCATTCCAGGTGGGGTCTCATGAGAGTAGAGGGGGAGAATCATTTCCCTTGACCTGCTGACTACACATCTTTTGATTTACCTGTTTACCACCAATTCTGTTGTAAAATGTTGCAGCCAAACACAGTAATTACACAGAATCACAGAATATTTTGAGTTGGAAGGGACCCACAAGGATCATTGAATCCAACTCTTAAGTGAATGGGGACTGAAGCAAAAAAGACTGCAAATCTGTTTATGAAATAGAACTGACTTCTGGTGAGCATCATAAAGTATCAGTGGAAAAATCTATGGTTTGTTGGATCCCTTGATAGCTCCACACTTGACTGAAACTCACTACCACAACCAGAAATCTTTGCTAATTAAGCTAAAACGATTCCTGGGCAACATTGTTTTTCTGGCCCTGTACCTGTTTCATCACTGAGTTACCTGCACCTGTAACAAGGAGTCCTCCAACACCTCAGTTTGTTTCTGTGGCAGGAACTGCTCTGATCAAATTTCATGCAAGGATGAATCCAAATAAAATTACAGTTAAATCAAATGGAAAGAAGTCATAGATTTCCTTTGTCTGTGGGGAGAAGGAAACAACCCGTATAACTTGCAATAACAAAAATATTTGTAAATAAAGTATGTAAACTCAGGCACAACTGCCACAGAAGTTCCTTTGGTGGGCAAAAAAGGAGCTATAACAGGCAAAAAAAGAGCAAATATATAGTTACTGTTGCTGCCAGGAAGTGATGCTGAAGAACAACATTCCACCATAACCTCGTTACCTGAAATCAAGAGTTTAGGAAGGGGCAACAGAGATTATGCAAGGCCATAGGTTTACTTAAAATCCAGCCCAAACAAGAGAATACTCACTGGGGAAGGGGATTTAGGAAAAGGCATGATACTAGCAGATAAATGCAAACTTCAGTGCTTTTGCTTTTAATTTTCAGTAAACCTTATCTTGCACAGCTCCCAAACCTTCAGCCTTTCATTCTAAACAGGGCAACCTACCATACGATTATGGGGAGCAAAGGAATTGTGTTTCTGAGCTTATTTAAAGAAGGTGCACTGGCAGCACTAGGCAAAATGGACAAAAAGGAATCAGAAAAAACCCAGCCCAAAGCAGACGTGAATACATTCCTTGGGTACGTGTAACACACAGGGGCTGGCAGAGTAACTGAATAAAGCCAGTGCACTGTGAACAACAGGGTAACAGTCTTGAACGACTGAGCTTCAGGCAAGGCAACACCTGAGCATTCAGAGTACATACAGCAACAACACCTAATGCCCAACAAATATACCGGAGGGAGGGGGGGAGAAAACAACAAAACCAAAACTGGGCATTTGAAACACAGGAGAAAAAAAAAGATGGTCACGGGACATTCACATTAATCTTGCAGAGAATCCACAACAATTCTATCAGACACAGTTTTTTCGGGTCTGAAACCCTCTGCATGTATACTACAGCAGGAGTTACAGATGGGGCAAAGACCTTGACTGATGCAGAGGGGGGACACATTTCATAAAATATTGCAATAGCATCTGAGAGTCACAAGCTTCTGCTGTTTGCAGAAACATTGCTGCTTCTTGGTACAAGCTATTTTCCAGAAATTCCCCAGCGTCCATGGAAACATCCCTGTACATGTGAAGCAGAAAAGGCTTTATTCTTATTCAGCTATATCCAATGAAACTGTCCCTCCTTTCTATATCACTCCAAAGAGACACAGGGAAAGGTTAGACTGCCCTATGCAAAGCACACAGAAATACACTGAGCAATCATCTTTTCTGTCTCTGGGATCAACATCAGTGGTATCCAATAGGATCAAACTGCATGTAATGTATTTTGCATCAATTTTGCTGTACAGTGTCTATGCAAGTTTCTAGATGACCAGTGTTCAGGAGTGCTTCCTCTCTCTTGCGCTCACTGCATTTGATGAGCACTCACAATTCCATAAGTTTTATGATCGAACAGTATCTGGTTTTGTCTTACAAAGAATCAGCCCCTTTGCCCCAACCCCAATAACTCACCACATCACAGATGCAAGTCAGCATACACTTACGCCCGCTACCCAAACATTCAAAAGCTAAATCTGCCCTCAATGACGTACTAGTTCAGTATGCCCTGCGTGTGCCTGGACACTCCCAAATCCGCAGCCGACCTGCCATTTTCATGGTGGTTGGGATGTTTCCTTTATAGCCCAATAACCTGCCACACATAACACACAATGAGCTGGCAAAGCACATCTACAATACACTTCCTCCAGTTCTTCAACCTGTTAAAAGGCGTGCTGTGGTCATCTCAAACTTACTCAGCTGTGGCATCTTTTCTTACCCATATCTTGGGAAACGAGAGACACCAAGGCTAGATGGGCTCTCTAACAGTCAAGTCATTATTAACTCCACAGTGCTTTGCAATCTGGACAGCAAGAAACACAGTCAGGTTTTCAGGTGACACAAACATTCACCTTCCCTTACCACTAAGGTTAGGGAAACATCAAGATCTGCCAGTTCACCTATAGATGATGAAAGAAAAATGCCTACTCACTGTGTCAGGGGAAGGACAGAAGAGACTGGGGTTATGGAAGCCTTGCCTATCTTACCAACTTGGAGGAACACATTTAATTGTTTCCAAGGTATCTGTAACACAAACATCTGTGTAGCAGGACACAGCTGTGGACCCATCTACCCTGGAAATGACTTCGAGCTTTTGCTCAGACTCTCCAAGACAAGAAGGTTGTTCAATAAACAAGACCAATCCAGAGATCTGATGCCCAAAGAGCTACTTACACTTATTTTCACACCAGAGAAAAAGGAAAGCACGTTTCATTAGGGAGTTGGCTGAACTACGAATTCAGTGGCCAGGAAAACAGCTTCTACATCTAAGGGGAGGATTAATTTGCGATTTCTTCCCCACCTGTTTTATGATCTGCTCTCATTGCTTGATGCTGGTTTAGCAGGCCCTAAACTTGCTCTTAAGTACACTGGTCAGTAAATACCAACAACGGTGGGCAATGTTTACTTGCTGCATCATCTCCCTCTCCCTCACATCCCCAGGTGAATTACGTTTCTGTAAACCTATTACCTCCGCACGACAACCACCAAGGCTGCCAGATGAATCTGCAAGCAGGAGCAGCAGGGAGACAGAAGGCTGCAAGGAAAACTGCCTGTGGATTGAGCAGGGGAACTGGTATCCCAGAGCATGCTGCAGCAATAACCCATAAGGCAGTGAAGGAAAAGTGAGCAGATGCTCTGTTCAGCTCCTCACAGCTCTCACTGATACAGCCACATGCTTGCAGGGCACAGCACACAGTGAAAATGCCTGGCAATTCTTGAGGAAAGAGCTATACTACTGTCATTTGTCATCAACTGTTTCCTAGTACACTTCCTACTACAAAGCAAGCCCTTAATAACACAGCTATCTTTCCTTTAACCCAACATTTAATAACCCGTTTTATATGATACTGGACATTTAAAGATCCCAGAAGACGATCCACACAGCTGTCAGCGTACTCACCAAAGCTTTCGTGTTGTCTTCCCTGAACCAAATGCCCAGGTCTGACTGGAGAGGCCGTACATTGCAGACAGACAGACCTACTCATGTTTTAAAAAAATACACACCCTGTGCATGAGACACAGTGACCTGACCTTTAGCAGACCGTTACAAGTTACAAAGTTACAAGTATTGGGTTTAATTCTACACTTAATTCTCTCCATGGATGTTCTCCAGTTCACCACTGGGTAGCACAGTGGCCACGCAACTCAAGCTCTTGCTCTTTCGGGCAGACAGGATAATCCTGTGCAGCCAACAGTAGACTTAACCAATCCAACACCAACTGTTTTAGGATGAAACTTGTTTCTACACCCCCAGATATAGAAACTCTAAACCTTAATCCATGGCTGAGTAGAAACACAAATACCACAGACTGAAGCGATACACAGTTATGTCAACTATGATGTTTTAGACCTGTTTCAAAGAAATGGATTATGAACAAGCTGATTTATACATACAAACAAGTCCATTGTGCCCAGAGGTTTCCTAACATTCTTTTATTAAAAACCAAAGAGCCAAAGATCGCCCTGATGCTCTTCATTGTTATAAAGCAGACTCTGAAGTATTATGTGAACTATGTATGAGCAAAGAACTCCAACTGATGCAGAGTTTAAAACTAGGTTTACAGTTTCCTATTTTATTGGCATGGATGTATTTCTAAACTTAAAAACCCTTCTGGTAAGTTATCTCAATTTCATATGACAAAATTTCTCACAACACACAAATATTTACAACATATACATATTTTTTCAGTCTTTTACAACTGGTTCTTAAAAGACAAACAATTTATAGGTTACCACAGAACAAAAGCTGTGACTTAGTTGTTTTTAATTTGATAAAACTATCATAAGTTAAAGTGAATAGATTTTCTTTAAATTCCTTGTAGCATTTTACAAGTGCAACAGAAAAATATGAAGAACCAATTTAGGATAGCTGCAGTTCATTGGATAAATGTTGCCCGTCGTAATCACATTATTTCACAGCAAATTCTTGAAAAAATAAGCACCAATCATTCTTGCAAAGAACAATTTTATCTAAAAGTATTGAAAAGTGTTAAATACAAGGTGTTTAATTTACGTAACAAGCAATAAATACACCATATCCAAACTTTTATTCTGCATACTGCTACCCTTGTACATATAATGTACTAAAAAGTCAGCAAATTGTCAACACCTTTTCATATTTTTTTCTCTTTTTTAAAGAAATCAATTTGACTTCCAACCAACGGTTTGCTACTATAACAAAGGCCACAAACAGTACGTCTGGGACAGCATACAGTGTTAAAACTGACAAACTCCAAGGGGGGAAAAAACCATCTAGCAAATAAACTGGAAAGCTGTAGATCATTGCTGGTGATATTAACATATACTAGAAAACCTTAATATGCTGCTACTATGATTTTGTAAATTGTTTAGTCAAATAGCGTAAGAGCAAACTAACGCTCTTACCGATCAAAAATAATTCTGTAGCCACACTGTATTCTCATTGTCCTGCATGGAAAGATCTGATGCAATTTCATAACTTTGCTTGAGCCTTTATTTTACAACAGAGCATTACCTCTAACTCGGAATTGCACATAAGAAGGCTATTAAAAAGTACAATAAAAATCTGCACAAATCAGACTTAAGAAGAGTCAGGATGCTGTACACTTTCTACAATATTACGTTGACAGGTGAATAAAGAAGTGCTGCCACTAAGTTTTTCAGAAAGTTCTTTAGTTGAGGAATAATCAAATGGAATTTTTGTTGTTTTTTTTTTTAATTATTATTATTTTTTAATTTTATTTTTTATATTTTTTTTTAAAAATGACATCCAGGTCAGTTTAAGACCTATAAGCTTATGCATTGAGCCTTAAAGACTGATCTTCTCTCCTCCTGGAAGAAATATCAATATCTATTGAATCCTTGCCAACAATAAGCCTTAATCTCTTCGCTGGAGGAAGAGGAATAAAGTCATCAAACTCATCATCATAATCATCTTCCTCTTCATCGTCCTCTTCTGATGAAGATTCATCTGCTGTTTCCTCTTCATAGTGACCATAATCATCTACTTCCATTCTTGACTCCAAAACGGACAGAGTTTCACTACAACACATACCATTTTCATGAAGGTCCTCAGGGTATGTCCCTCTGTTTTCTTCCTCTCGTTTTAGCTGTATTTTTAATTTTGTTGAACTATTGCCTGATCCTGAGTTAAACCCATTATTTAGCTTTGCTACATATAAGTTATTATCCTTTTCATGGTCTTTACTTAATTTGATGCTTATTTTTGAAGAATTCATTCCATCACTTTCTTGATCATTTGTCTTGCTACTGCTATCATGGCGCCTACGAAGAGTCAGTTTAGGGATCCCAGAGCTATTTTCAAGGATAAGTTGTGCATCATACCTTGTGATTCGTCTTTTCTTTTTACTTTTTGCAGTTCTAAAGCTGTCTTTTGCTTTAAAATTGTCAGTTGTTACAGAGCAGCCACCAGATCCAGGGATGCAGTCTTTAAAGCCAACAGGTGTGTCCACCACATTATTCCTCTCTTCAAGTTCTGAATGAGAACTAATCAAATCTGGTACTTTGTCTTTCACAGCTGTGTTGTGCATAGTATCAATTTCCTCTGTTTTTGAAGATGTTTTCACAAGCTTTCCTTGTCGAGATTTCTTTTTTGATGTGCCTGCATCATTTTTCTGGCACCTCCCCTCCCCTTTATGTGATGGTCCATGAGCCACCTCGTTTTCGTTTCCCGCACGAGACTGCTGCTCTACAACGTCCGATTGTGTTCCAGTCAAATTATTCTTATAGCTATCCAACGTATTTGGTTCAAGCTTTGTGTCAGAGGTCTCCTTCAAACTCATCCTTGTTCTCATCGACCTCCTTGTTATGTATGTGCAGGGTGGAATATCACCATGCTCATGAGCACCTTTCACAGAATTCAGTTTATGTTCTCTCGCTGCGTGCCTCGTTAAGCATCCGCTAGAGACTGCAACTTTGACTGGTCCCTCCAATTCTTTATCCTTTTTAATGGGCAAGTTTTTATACAAAACTACTTTAGGCTCTTTGAGAACTAAATTTCCCATTTCAAGCTTTCTAGAGGCATTCTTTTGCTCTGGCCTTTTGCACTGATTTCTCAACTTTATCTTTGAAAGTAAAGGCTTTGCAGGCTTTTTCAGTCTCTTTGGTACCCTGGAATTATTTATATGAGTTAGTTTAGATGAGGTAGAATTTGATGATGCTGGAATTCTTGATATAGACTGTCTGGTTAACGTTCTATTTTTGCTGTTCTTTTTAACGCCAATTGAAGATTTTCTGTTAGCTGCAAAAGAAGAAATTAAGTTTTGTTATGACACTTCTTTATCCTGAATTTCCCACTCCCAAATACTGTAGTTATTTCATTTATTTGGAACACTTCAAGAGAATCCATGAAATAGGACAGACAGTATGCAGTAAGGAATGAGACTGCTTAACTTGCAACTCAAGACATGAAAGGAATTGTCAAACGAGCCAAAAGTACAACTACATTGCAGATAAACTTCCCCTCACCAACCAAGTTTGGTTTTTACTGAATTTTTTCTTCTACCAATTAAAAAAAACCCCATCTATTTGATATTATCCACAGTTTTTACTGAGTATTATTCCAGCAAAATCTGAGGATCAGCATGCTTCAGTATTAACTCTGGGATTTTTTCCTCAAGAGGGAGATAAAAACCCCAAACACCTTAACTAATGTAGTGGTTTCAGTTTCAGGTATCACTTAACTGTCACAAGCAAAAAAAACCTTCCTCTGCACAACAGATGTGCAACTCTAAATCCAGGTAATTAGAGACTATAAAACCTTTTGGGGAAATGTTTTGAGGTGGGTTTTTTTTGTGTGTGTGTATGTGTTTTGTTTTTGTTTTCTTTTGTTTATTTAATATCACAGCAGCAAACAGGAAACAACTGGCACCATAATATTTTATGTGGCTCCAAACTTTACTAGTTAAGTCAAAGTTTAAATTATTTACATTTTGCCCATACTGAGGGTGGTGAGGGTGGGAAAGGGGGGAAAGCAAGTAAATGATACTCACTACTCCATCAAGGGAAGTTTTGCAGGAACATTACAAACAAAAATCCCTTCCAATTTCTTCTGAAATTACTAACTGTGTGCACTTTCACTTCAGAATAGGTACCTGACCTATCAATTCTGAATGTGGAGAGGGAAGAGCAGCCCAATTTAAACAAACTCTAAAGGAAATTACTATTTCTTTAGTAATCTCTACTAAAAGTATTTATTTAACAATTGTTTTCCTACAGAATATAGATAATTCAAACTGTGTAAGTTTCCTTTCCTAAACCACACTACTGCCTGTGGTAGTTTACCTTATTCTGAAATACAGACATTAGTGACAGGACGTTAAGTTTTTACACTTTGTATTTGATTTTGATATAAATAAAACAAAACAATAACATGCCACCTATTGTTCTTGAAACACTTGTGGAAAGCCATGAATTTGCTATTTAAATTGCCTTCAGATTCCTCAATAAATTACAGTTTTAATGACCAGTATCTGAGAACATCTCAACACTAAGAGAGAAATTCCATCACAGTGAAAGTTTTCCATGTTTTTAAGAAACGTTTAACGTCTCCAAGCTTTTCCCTTTACTTACTTGCATTACCTTTTTCCTGAGTGGTATCTGCATCAGTGTTAGAGCTGACAGACTGGCTGTCTGAATTCTTGCTGCTGTCACCCAACTTTTTAAGCCTGTTCAATCGTTTATCTGTTTCTCTCAGTCCATATTTACTATTAATCACAGGAGTAGGTGCTGGTAATCCCACTCTTGATTTAAAAGCACCAGTTCCACGTCTACAAAGAAAAAGAGGACACAAAGTATTAATAAATCTCAATGTAAACTTACAGCTTTGTTTCATATACAGTAGTTTGAATCCCAGGAATATCTGGATAAATGATACCAAGAGCCACTGAATTGGTTCGCATTTTGTAGGTTGTTTTGTCTTCTGACACGTCATCTTTGGTGCCTACATGTCTCAGTTGGCCAGCATGAACAGCAGGCTCACCTAGAAAGAGTACATGGACAAAAGCAAATCTTCCTGGGAATGACTTTTGGAAGCTTGAAAAAAATTGTACAGCACCAAATTACCCACTGCTCCAAACATACCCACAGTTTCTTCAAAGTCAAGCATTTTAACATTACAAATTAACACCCTTTACAGCACAGTCAAAATTGAGTCACTTAAATATGATTTTTTTTTTTTGTGGCGTACAAAGCAACAGTTGCCTCATCTGTCTTGAACAAGGAAAAATGAGTCCTTACTAACTTCCCTAAAACAAAATCTTTCATATTTGATTGCTGTAACACTGCCTTGTGACTGAAATGCAAATTCCTAAAGCTAGAATCACCCAAACATTAGCTTTAAAAAATAATGTTTTCACGCACTTAAAATACAAAAATGACAAGGTAATGCAAATGTTCAGACACGCAAAACTAGTTTGCCCTCAAAAAGAAAGCACGTCTGTAAAACACTGAAATCAACAATCATGGTGCCCATTTATTCAACACTGAATAGTCCCAGGACTGAAGTACATTTTTACTAGCATCTCTCGAGATAAAGTCTGAGATTGTACCCTTCACTTGGAATGATCCACCAACATCACACGAGCTTGGACGCCCTTACCAGAAGGTTTTCCCTTGATTTGCAAGATTTGTTAGTGACCAAACTAGCCAGTAAAAATGAAAGTAGATTATTGAACTATTTATATGTAGGTGCACTATGCTATTGTCAATATGACAAATTCTCATCGGTCATATTCTCAAAATGACCAATATTTTGTCCTTTGTAGGGTTTTTCTTTCTACAGTTAGATCCAACAGTAACAGAACCGTTAAGAGTTCCATGAAATTCCTCTTGGAACTGGGTGAAGCTCTCTCAAATGATGCTGAGCCTGTCTGCCCACAGTGAGCAGAAATTTCAGTGTGGCAAAAACCAACTAGGAAATTCTTTCAACTGATTTTGTGAAGAAAGCAGATTGCGACAGCACAGGTGAAAACGAAATATAACAACTCTGCTGCTATTATGTGATGCACAGATATAGGGGAATACTGTCCAAACTAGTAGATCTTTACAAATACACAAACTCCCAAATTCTAATAGCATTGGGTGAAAAACTATCTTGCCCATTCCCAGCAGAAGAGAACTTCAGGTCAACATATAAAAACGAAATTTGCTTTTTCTAGTGCAAAAAGGAGCAAATGTTGGGGAACAGTTGACAATGGTCTTGTAGAAGCTGTAACTGTTTTTCCTTCCAATTCTACTTTATTCAGTACAAATATTTCTAAGAATCTACACTTATGATTTGATCCACTTTGTCTCATGTTGGGCTATCTCCAGAAAGAGACTCAAAAGAAAAACAGAATGCAGAGTTCTCAGGAATCATGACCATTCTGTAACAACATAGAAAAATCATTACAGTAGATACCTAGGAAGCAATTATTTTGTGTCCAAAAATCTGAGTACTCATAATCAAGGACTTCCAGTTTCACAAAATATATCACGGAACCTATTTACATCAATGTATACCTTTCACAGGTGTAACATTCGCAGTATTCATTATTTTCTCCAAAAAACCCATCTCCATAGTAACAAGAGATTTCTTCTCCAGGTTCAATATCTCTTAGAGCTTTCACACATGCCGTATCTCTGCCCGTTGATACAAACTGGGGAAGGAGATGACAGGAAGGGAAAAGGTATAAAATAAGGTTAAGCATTAAGGCTGTATAGTATCTGAGTAAGAAATAAAAGTAAAACAGTCAGGGAAGAAAAGTTGCAGGGACAAAGAAAAACAAAACAAAACAAAAAAGCAGGGTGCTTTATTTATTTACTTTTAATTTCTTGCTTACCTTACAGTTAGGTCTGCAATCTGAAAAAGGTCCAAAAGATAAAGTCAATTAACTGTGGATAAGACCTGAAACATGAATAGTTGTAGATATCTAAAGTAAGGATTCACTCTGACTTTAATAACTGTAGAATCTCAACTAAATATTGGGAGTTAAGTTAGTAATGCACAAAATCATACTTCAAAAGGTACTTGTTTTGACATAGTTGGGTTTCTGAGCTCTTCCCTATTCTACCACAAATGTTCAGTTTCCCTCCTCTTTAGGGTGAACAGATTTATCTTAAGTCCTACCTGCTTTTCCCTGAATTGCTAAACTTCTGTGTAAAATGTTAAAGAGGCATAAGAAGTTTACTTAAGAAAGATGTTACTGTTGACTAAGTTCACAGAGAACTCAAGGTAACCCACAATATGCCCCACTAATTTAGCTGTCAGTTCCAAAATCGATTTCAAGTAAGAAGGCATCACTTCCTAGAGCCTTCTGGGAGTTTCCCAGTTCACAGCTGATCAGCTCTGGCTGGGAAAATCCCAACAGATTTTGTCCTACAGTAATACCGTATGTCAGATTCAGACATTTTTCTCCAAGTTCTTGTGTTATTCAGCTCACATATAATAATGCTTCTGAGTAGAATTGCTTATGCCCTTTAACATGCTTCCTGCATTTACTACTCACCATGATTGATAAATGCAGCAGGACCAAGCCACAGTTGTGCACAGTTTTTTCGTGTGGAATACATGACGCTGAAGTCATTTTCCCCATGTCTCAGCAGCATGTTTTCTTCCATTTCTGATAGTTCAGCAATGCAGCCCACAAGTAATTCTATTTTATCATTTCGTTTCCTTTAGTGCAAAGAGTAGCAGAAATAAGAATACATGTGTCAAAATTACAAAATAATTTCACAAAAAGAAAAGTTGCAAAACACTTCTTGTTATTGACAAACCATTCCACAACCCCTATAAGCCTCATGTTTTAATTCACTGAGAGACAGGATATTAGGCTGAATAACTTTTTTCCAGACTCGAAATAGATGTTTTTATGCTACTATATAGAATCAATTAATCAAATCTGACGTCAGTAACAATTATGACCATTATTTCTACCATTTCCTGAGACTGCAGGCAAGAAATTGTAAGAGTTGATTACTTCAGCTTCTACAGTTGTTAAAACCAAAAGCGAGATCTTTTCATTTGTGTACACTCCCTCCCCATCGACACTTAAGATATTTTGACTTCCTACAGCTGCTCCTGCTTGGCGTTTCCTATGCTTCTTCCTGTGGCCAGGAAAACCCGGCATAATGAAAATGCTTACAACTCCATGGCTTCTTAAATGAGGCCCAGTACTGACTCGAACAAAGGCCAGAATTCAAGCAAGATGTTTTCCTCTCTCATGAGCAGATCTTCAGCATGAAGCTGTTAGTTGAAACAGACCGAGGAAGGGGGAAGGATGCACACCAACAAAAATCCACAAACCCAGGAAGCCTTGGTGTGCAGGCAGCCCATCTGCCATCATGAACAGAGCAGAGGCATTGACTGCTCAGCCTAGGAAGAAGCACACCACTTCTGCTCCCCTGCATGGGCACTGTTTCCACTGCTCCTCAGAGTGGCCATTCCATATTTTGGCCAGATTACTGTGACACAGATGAATATGCATATACTAAACCTACATGAAGGACATACACTAGAAGCCAAGTCTTTCAGGTGCAAAAGTCTCCTCTGATAGAGAACGCTGAGAACTCTATCAAGTTTGAGTCTCAATAGTTTTCCAGATATCAAGAGGGTTAAGAAGCAACTTTCCTGTCTTCCTTGCTCTCAGGCCACTCAAGATTTGAGCATGGAAAGTTAATTCATTTCCAACACACCTACATACAAAGCTTCAAGAATCAGCCAAGGGGTGAATTTAAACAAAAAAATCACCAACTGGTATTTTTTTTGGGGGTTGTATCCTGATCGTGGAACTTTCAACTACGGTCATGAGGAGTTAGAAACTAGCCTCAGACTACTTAAAGATTACTCAACAACACGTGGAGGTTGTGTTGCTGCCAGCCCAGTGTCCAGCCACTCCATCCTAGCCCACACATAACAGCATTTCGTCACCTCAGACGCGCTGGTGTGAATGTGTACTGCCACTAAGCAAAGCTAACATAATTTGTGTGTGAGTTTATTTTAAAATCTGAATTAATTTGGAATCTACTAGTGTTGCCATGCATATGCTTATAATGAAACTCAGATGTTCCAAAATGAGATGCAGAAATACAATGGGGTTCCAACTTTGTGTTTCCAAGAGAGATTTATCTTGGACAATCAAAATATGCAAATAACACCCCTGTTTCACGAAGGCGAAAAACTCATTTCTCCCACAATAATTTGCTGCAAATCCACCGTAATGTCATGTTTCTCACAGGAGGCCAGCAGCTCGTGACTAGAGGAAAACAATTATCTGACTGAAAACAAGATTAAAAAAAAACTTGTATAATGAACACTATATGGATACGCCCAAATATACAAAGGAATGTCTTCCAGAGGCATGTATCCTGTGTTAAGTACTTAGCAAAAACACACACAAAATTCAATTTGCAAGTAACAATACAGAACTGTATTTCATGAGTTGCAGTTCTAAATCACCCTTTTTAATATCTTTTTTAGGGTCTTTCAAAATAATTGACAGAAACAGAATGCAACAGTAAATGCATTTCTTACCATTCTTTCGTTGCAACAATTTTGGCTCCATTTTGCTCTGAAGAATACCGATTACAAGGCAGGATCTCAAACCCACTGTCAGTTGCAAACATTCGTAAATAAATAAATACCTGCAATGAAAAAACCCAGTATTTTCCTGTTACAAGCAAAACAAAAGCAGTGAGGAACTTCTTATATAAATAGTGAAAGTCAGTGACCTGCACAAAAACACACACAAAATGGATACTGCAATGGGATACTGTCTGCTGAAATGCATCTCTGTACATTTTAGCTATACACATTATGTTGGTCTTATTTCTTCACAATGACTTGCAAGAATCCTCACGTGGGTAATGTGACTATGCAAAGAGTTTAAGAAAATTAAAAATGCCTTGAATGGTACAAAACTGGACCAACCAATGAAAATGGATAATTTTTTTCCTTAAAGTCACTGAATAGTTGCATTCAAGTAATCTCAAATCTTTAAGAACCACTGAGATCTAACAATCTACAGGAACTCACGTTATTATTTGAAGTTCTGAAAAAAAGATATTACTTCCATGACAAATTTAGATAATGAATTCAGGGACTGGATCAATTTTTTTCAGGTGAAATTTGGTTGTATTACTCAAAAAGCATTTGACAAAGCAGAGGTTTTTTTCTGCTAATTTTTTTCTACATTACTAGATTTGGTGCACTCTAAAGTAGGCCAAATTCCTTTTGATTGTATCTGGAAACAATAGACTCATTCCTGAAGAAGTTTCTTTTTTTTTTTAAGTAAAAAAAAAAACAAACAACAAAAGATGATTTTCTTGCTTTGAACTTTGAGAATCAACAACTTTTATGTTACATACAAAATGGATTTGGGGTATGGCAAGTAGAGGAAGAGGAATAACACTCCCACATAAAGCCCCTATACCCAAAACAACTGAGGTATTTTGAGGTAACAAGGTTCCTCCCTTTTCCTTTACCTTCCTTTGTCACCCAATTTGATTAAAAATAGCTGTAAGCAAAAAAAAAAACAAAAAACAAACAAAACAACAAACCCAACTAAAAAACAAAAATGAAAAAAACCCCAACCAAACCACAAAACAAACAATGAAGGGGAAAAAACTTCACCTTCCTTTTTACATGTCTATTAATAAATGGCACTGTAAGTTAACGACAAAAATAAAAGTGAGGGTGTGTCTAGTTGGCTTTAAAAAACAAAGGAAGTTTCTGATAAAAAAACAATCAAACAATTAACATGTAACGGAGCAATTGATTGCTTTACTACTGCTACATTCCTAAGAAACTTTTATGTTTTCTTAGCCTTTCAACCATCTGAAAAAGCACATTAATTACAAATACACCTACATGTTCCTTGAACAACCTTTCCTGCATTTTGTTCTTGTTAAGAAAATAGTGCCGGGCCCAGTCACCTGACGTCAAGGACTTGAAGGCTTTTTCTAAGTGCTCATCTTTCTTAAAACGTTCAATCACCTCTTTTAGTTCTTCTTGCCTTCCTTTAATAGGTCGAAATCTGAAATAAAGAATAAAGCTATTCCAGTCCATTGTCAATCACTCTCAATTCTTCCTTACAGTTACTCACAGTACAGAGTTCTTTTGCTAGTCATATCAATATTTAACTCCTAGCATAAACAGACTGACCATCAGGTACTCAAATCACAGGTCCTCATTTCCTGAGGAAGGGGCAGAAGTACTGCAAAGCCAAGAGTACTACCTGGAACCTTTAAAATCCTCTATTCTGCCAACAAGCATGATTTATTTACAAAACAAATCTCTGATAAGGTTAACCAATGCACAATAATATTTCCCTGTTTTCAGCACCTGTCATTTGGAACAAAGCAGCTAAAGAACTATTATAATAAAAGCGTTACTTTTTTAATAATAGTATAACTTTAGTTAACAAATTTGTTATCATTCAAAGTAGTTGTGCAAAAAAATTCTGCAAATAAACTGGATGCTGTTAAGTTTCCTAGTTAACATTGGTATTAGGGGATCTGCGCACAGTACTGGCTTTTGTAACTGGGTTGTGTGTATGTGGGCATATGTGATTTTAAATTTAAGCCCTCTACAACATCACATGCCACATGATTTTTTTTAAATAGGGAGTAAACAATTAGGCAGTGCAACCAAAGAGACCGAATAAGAAATCTCGAAACAGAAAAAACGCACAACTATCTTGAGTGATTTCAAATCAACTTCTGCCAAACCCAAAACATTATTATATTGACAAATTCACTACATAGGTTTATGTGGAATGCAAACTTAACATGTGCATTCATACAAAACACACCTCTAAATGGCTACAGAAGAAGTATCTATAAATGGTAAGACACGGCAGAGCTACTACATCCGTGGAAGATTAAGGTTCCACAAGTTAGTGCAGTTTTAAGAATTTTTTCCCCCAAACACTGGCTACAGGAAACAAGTAGCTGAAAAATCATGGGCAGGTAAAATATGAAAATGAACCCCTGTACATTAGCAGAGAATTCCACCTTCTTCCCAAAGATTGAGATTTAAGAGAAACTGCCCTTCATATATTCAACAGTAAAAAAAACAGGTAACAAAAAAACTGCATGACTGCCAGAAGCAGAAGCTCCATTTTGAGCTGCAAAACCACCAAGAGAAAGCAGCACTTTAAATTAGAGATTATGTCGAATCTCTATAAATTGACTGAGCACATACCCATATATGCTCTGCTTTGGGACAGAGGTTGGGTGTGTGTACATTTAAGTGTATGACACACCCCAGGGGACTCTTCACAAAGATAAAAATTTTCTAGGGTCATGAGAAATGGTTTTCTGCAGATCTTTTTACAATTCGTATGTTTTGCCTAAACAACATATGACAGAAGAGCTAAACAAACTGACAGCTTTTGAGTAAATCTGTAAGACTAAGTCCTGTTACTTGCTGCTTGACGTGCATTACCACGCTGATTTTATTTCCTCTTACTTACCAAATGAAGTCGGTATTCGACGACAAAAGTAAACAAGGGGAAATAAATTATTGAAGTTGGTGGAAGGAAACCTCATCAACTTCCTCACTGATACTGTTTTTTAAATTACCACATAAATTGGCTTATTCTTATCTTAGAATGTTGCCAGTAACTTCTTTTCAAATGACCAAGTAAGAGTTGCTGCTTCTATGCAACTTGTGTGAAGGAAACAAAATACCTTAAGTGTTAACTCAATTTTATTTCACCTTTTAAGATGCTAAGAATCTAATAAGAAAGAACTAACAATGATGAGGATTCAATTTCCTTCATTAGAAAGAAAGTGCTGTATTTATGCTCCTGATACAATAAAGACAGACCTCCTAACAGCAGTATCACTTTCAGCAGGTTATCAGTGTTCCATGCTACCGCTTTTATAAATCATCTCTGCATTCTCCTTCAGAAAAACTTCCTTGTAATATAATGACTAAGCAACCTTTGAGACACTTTTGAACACAGCAAAATTTATCAGCATAAACTTGTGAGTTTTCAGAGAACACAGCACAGTAAGGAGTTCTGAGCAGACAGGTAAATTTTCTTCTGGCTGGGATATAACAACAAAACAGGAGTCAGTTAAGAAACAGATGCCTGCTTAGAACTGTGGCATGCATCATTTGGCAAGTTTCCAAAAAAGCTCTTCATTAAGGAATATACTTATCCCATCCTCCCAAAAAGCTAACTGCCTAACAAGCTGCTAAGACTGTATCATGGAAGAAAACTCTCTACAGATGACATGATCATCATTATTTTTGTTCTGCAGCACACTAAAGTCTCCCTCAACTTGCCAGTCACACACAGAAGTATCTCTATTCTCCCAAAACCAGAAAGATTTCTCCCAGATTTGATAATCATAACTCACAGAGCTTCCTCATACATCAAGAGAATGTGAAGTCATATAGCCTGAACTGAACCTGACTAGTTTCAGAATGTGACCTGCTGTCATTTTTAGTTTTAATCAGAAACATTTTTCCATCAAGGAAACTTATACCAGGAGAAGCAGAAGTAGAATATGCACAAATATGAAGAGTTAACATTTTGCTTACACCTTTATCTGCAAACATTACATGAAGGAAAAAACCTGCAGGATTTACAGCTAAAGTTGGTCTTCAGCTATGTCTGTCCTTTCTGGGCTACATGAATGACTGCCCTCTCCCTTACACTATATATTACATGTTGAAATGCACCATTTTTTTGCTATGTGACCTGCAGGAGCAAAGACAGGTGGAAAAGCCACCACATTCAAAATTGCATTAGCACCTCAGACAGGCAGTGTATGTGCTGATAGACATAATCACACTTGTTTATCATCAAGGAGCTTGGTACAGGCTAGCTAAAGAAAACAGTATCCCAAGTCAACTACCAGCGGGAAGAAAGCTATCCCAACTGAACCACCATTGGGAAAAAAAAATAAAGAGAAAAAAACAAAACAGGGCAGATGCCAAGCTTGACAGTGGCTCTCAAGACCTACAAAAAAAGAATCAACACCCTACATTTTCTAGCAATTAGAAGCACATTGTACAGCCCCAAAGTGATGTTTATATTTCAGGTTTCTAACAACCTCCCATTCTCAGAGGCTGAGTCAACATCTACGGCCTCAACCCTTGAAAAGTCACCCACATACCTCCATGGATAACATTCAGTAGGTGTTTCTTTGGGTTCCTGTCTCAGGCATTCTACACTGCCGGTGGCACTCCTTTAAATGATTAGCAGAAACTCAAGTAACACCATTTTGAAGAAGTAGAATAGTTAGTGTATGCCGAAGTCTTGAAAAGGCCAAAAAGGTGGCTGGAAACAAGAAGGGGGTGAAGAGACTGTACAAACCCCCAAACATTATAAGGTCAGATGAATGCTGCACTGTATGTCAGGCATTTCAAACAGGAACTGAGTTTTTTAAACAACATGACTCTCTGTACCCAAGGGTTCAAAAATCAATACCAAGGGACCTCCTGCAGCACCTCTATCAAAATGTTGCACTTACAAGGTGACAAAACAGAGATAATGAGAAAAGATAAGCAGGAATCCAAATAAGCAAAAAGTATCCACAAATACACGGGAAGATGCTGGAAAATAACACAATGTACAACATTTCACTTCAAGGGTTCCCAAATCAGGTGAAATAGAATGACACTGTGCACCCTGAGCTTGAGTTAATGAGTTGCTCAGAGCTCAACAGCATATGTAAACTGCACTGAGGGCATATAAAGTTAACAAGTAAATTCAGAATACTGCAGTCCAGACTCCTCATGAAAGCTTCAGTCTTTCACAGGTGTATCTCCATATATACTTTAAAAGGTACCTTCTGATTTGAGACACTGAAGAAGACAAGAAAGCCTAGAAGCCCAGTGTTCTTTAAGAATTTGAGGGTCTGCTGGTAGATACCTCACTTGTCCCAGGAGTATAATTTTTTATCTATATTATATATAGACTATGTAACTATATTATCATAGTTTCTGTATTAGTCCTTCGCAACCAAAAAGCCAATTGGTTTTGAGAAGCAATCTTACATCCTACCACTTTGGTGTTACAGGGCTTCCACATTTACACATGACAATAAACCCCCCAAAACCTATAAACCTGATGGAAGAGTCTACACAGCTGTTTTTGAGCTCCACCACGAAGAGAGCCTGAAAACGCCCCACAGCAAAATGTATAGAAAACGAGCCAAAGAAACTGGCTTTTAAGTGTCAGTAAAACAGGAGAACTAGTTCAAAGAAGAGAGAGATAGAGCACAAGGAAACCAACCGAACAAACCAGCCAATCCAGTCTCTAAACCGCTTTAAACGGTTAAAATCAGAATTGTTTATGCAGACTTCTGGTTTGCTCCTGTGAACAGTACCTTCATTAAGTTCTGTAAGGGAAGCTGAACAAGACACTTTAGTGTTTGAATCTGCTCATATGCACAGATTCCTTGAGCCACCCTACGAACAACTTCAGGGGTCAGGTCTTATGGAACATGAAATCTTCTGCAAAATAGTCTGTTGTTAAAAGTAAGCTAAGAATAAAAAACCCAGCTATGACACTATCTTTAAAGAAATAATAATAGCCCTTCTTCCTCACAAGCTGCAGAACAGAAACTTTTCACACTTCCCTAGAAAATACTTGTTTTTCCCTAGTCAACAAGATCCAAAAAAACTCTGGCTACTGCAGTTTCAAAATCAGACAGAAGATGATCTTATCCCAACTAAGGGCAAACTGATGTGGTCTCAATAAGGAAGACACAGGAAAATGGTTCGGGGAAGCAAAGCTCTTTCTCTCTCAAGTTTCTCTTACCTCGGGAGTACTTAAAGACTCTTGAAACTCCAAGGTATAAAGCCAAAGGTCAGTGAGATGCTTGCCTATAAAGGAAGTTAAAGGAGAGTTTCTGGTAAGTTCAGAAGCACAGCACCTTGCTCAGTCTCAGTCACTGAGAGCAGTGAGTTTGAACAAAAAGGATAAACTGATCCTGAAGGAGATCCAGAGTGAAACTCCACAAAGCATAGGAGCGCACGATAAAGAGTTATACTTCCAAACCTGTTTCTTAATTTCTGACTAGGGAACATCAAGACGAGTGAATTTATCAAAACATATCATCCAATTAGCCTCTTAACAACAGGGACCTTGTCTGGATGATATTTCTATTTACGTGGCTGTGGAAAGACAGCAAGTTACTATTCACACAGTAGCAGAGATTGAGCACAAAAGCTAAACTGCAAGCCTGTTAAGCATTCAAGACAGCACAACAAGACTTGAAAATCATCTATTTAAAATAAGTGTAAACAACTAAATTTAATTAACATACATTTTGGCTTCTTTCCTGCTTAACTCTGTAGTATGAGTATTTTTTTCCTCCCTCAAAGCTGGTTGTATCAGTTATGATCAACTTTTTCTGCCTTTAATCACCAGTACTTCCATATGGGACCTCATGTTCTTTAGAGGCTAAATTTCAAACAAGCATTCTTAATGAAGAAAGTATTCTACGTTATCTAAATTTCTTGAACACTAAACACACACCAGGTCTGGTCAAAACTCCAATACAGCCCAGGGCAGAAGTAAAGAAAATTCTTTATATAATATCATTCTCCTTAATAAGAAATACTTTTTTAAAATAAATATGGGGGATGCAAACCCCTCGCCCCCAACACTCTCCCCCATTCCTATTCTGACACTCCACATGGTAAATTCAATTTAGCAGTTACCATGTCTACTGGATGCAAGCCACTCCATCTTTTGGAGATGTAACAATTTTTATTGAAGCTATAAGTACAACTAAAAAAAATGTAAAAGTAAGGTGGCGGGTGTTGGTTTGAAGGGCAGGGTGTCATTTGGTTGTTTAGGGTATTTGGCAAATGTTTGTTTCAACAAAACAGTCGATTCCAACGTAATCACTGTGTGATCACTGTGATTACACATAGTGAAGGAAGACAACCAGAAGTAAGGTAAAGAACTTTAATGAATTAAGTTACCAGTAAAAATAATCTAAAAAACCCAGAGAAAGTAGATTTTACGCAAAAGTAAAACAAAAAATAATTTTGCAAAGTACACAGACACTGCGGTCTGAAAAATGTAAAAGCTTCAGTGTGAAACAGGTTGTCACCACGTAAGAGCTCTGTACCTCTAACCCAGCATCTCCGTAGCACCACAACACTGAAGTTGAACTATACAGCCACAATATCTTATTTAGCAGAATTCACATAACTTTTTCAACCTCCAAACCCCTTAAGATGAAATTAATAAGATTAATTATTATATTGAAATGAGCTGAAGAATACAGAAGAGATTCAGCACAGACCCTTAAATGCAAATGATATGGAACTGCTTTGTCTTTTTTGTCTTTGTTGCTCAATGATGACTCTTAACAGACGAAGTGCAGCGTACCCTGTCAAGTTCAGGAATGACTGTTTATACCAAAGTCAGAGACTACTCCTGATGCAGTGTTGAGAGACAGCTGCTTCCTGTACATCATCCCTGAGCACTTTTTGTTTGCAGTGGGAAACATGGAAATTCTCAAAGCTTGGTCCTTTCGTCCTGTGTTATCAGACAACAGTACCTACTCCACACACCAGTTTGTAAAGTCACAAAAAGGAGCAATATGGAGGTAAAAAACACCCTTAGATTCTCCTAGAACAGACCACAATGTATTTGACTTCCTAAACCACTCGCAAACTTAGAAATACGTTGGAACTGCTCTCAGTATTCCCTAGCATGATGCTGGTGCTTTAAGGAACCAGGAAACAACACTGACTGTTAACAGCAGCAGTATGATCAGAAGTCTGGCTTAAGGTTTAAATACTAACACTTCATATGTGAGACAGTAAGGAGCAGATTAGCCATTAAATCATGCAATATCAAGATTCAGCGCTGAGCCTAGGGAAAAGCATCTGAAAACAATAGATGGTAAGATAGGCAAGAATTCACCTCACTTTTTACAAGTGTCAGTTTTAATCTCTAGTGTTTGACAACCTTCAACCTAGGATGTATATCTTGCAAAATGAGTTTTGTTTTCAACACAAAACCAACCAAATAAGTCCTGATATAACAGGATTTGTACAAGAAGCAACAAAACCTCTTAGAACAGCTATAGTTGACAAGAACATACTACCTAAGATATGGGATTTCTTCTATTAACTGCTAGCCCGCTATTCTGTGGAGATAAGAGCTACAAACTGGCTGAAAGAATGACAACTCGGCATGTAAAGAGGATTGGAAGCTCTGAAAAAAAAACCTGCTTCCTCTTAGAAATCTAAGACAATGAAAAAAATTACTTTTGGGTACAGCCACTGAAGACATTTCCAGAGCTACATGTTATGCTGTCCATCAAATCCCTGGTGACGAGAAGACATTTCAGAGGAACATTGGACAAACACTTTGGGAGATTCAATTGCAATCTTTTGAGAACCAGTCTTCAGCTCTTTCAGATATTCCTGACTTGACAGCTTCCAGAGCTAACAGCCCAATTCCCAAGATGGAGAGTATTCAGGAATTGCAGGACTTCATTTTTATGCCTCCCCAGAAAAAAACTCACCAAAACCCCAAAAATCCCCACAAAACAACAAGTAAAATAACAATCAAGTTCTTGTCACCATCACACCAGATCACTAATTCATTATAAAGAAGATGAAGCATAAAGACATTTCAACAGCAATCTAGGTACTCTACTATAAGGTTTTTTTCCTCTAATCAATATACTCTGGACAAATCAAGTTCACAAACTCTTCAACTAGAAGAATGAATGAAGCAGAAAAAGTGTTTATAGAGAAAACACTCATACAGAGAAAAATGCAGACTTGGCTCGCAGAGGTAAGGTGAAGTACAACTTCATTAAGTGGTCATCAACTTATCCTGGGCTGCTACTTGCAAAAATACAAACCTCTTCTGTGTTTCCAACAGTACAGCAGAATGGTGGCACAGGTGCTTTCACAAATCAGAACAAGGGAACATGAAATACTTGCTTGCCACCATAAATGGCTGTTTTATGTTAAGCACGCCTCAATACAAAAACTATGTAACTAATATGACTCCATCCCACTGAAGCCCAAGATGCCCAAACATAAGCTGTAAATCTTTATTTCTACTACATCGTAGTATTTGGGTACTGGTGTCTGACATTTTGGAAACAGTCTAGCTTTTCACACTTGCTTTCCCTCCACCTTCCCTCAAAAGCCATAAAAACAACAATAAATCTTAGGAGCTCTAGAAAGACTATAGTTTACTTGATGGAAAGAGGGTAATCTAAGCATCACAGCTACAGTAACAAGCAAATGTCATCACCGCACCAAAAAGATAAACAAGAACTATGCTGACGCCTCTATTTTAATTCATTACAACAACAGAAACTCTCTCAATAGGACAAGAAAGAGGCAAGCCAGATGTGCTTCTAGTAGTTGTAAGCCTCACCTAAGTATTTCCCATACTGCTCCAAGATTATTAACTACCTCTCCTTGAAGACTGCCTGTAACTGTTCTCCAAGTCTGAGAAAGGAATAAACACAGGATGATGGTCTTTGTGTGGCCTTTTGGCTCAAAATAGTAATTAAAGAAGTATTTTAGGTGTTGACACCATATCAACATAAACCACCATTTATGACAGTAGGTTCTCCAACTATTAAACAATGAATACATCATTCCCTTTGTAAAAAGCCTAAGAATTAACTACCTGTGTGTAATCTGTAGACTATCATTCGTGCAAGAAAACAAAAAAGTCCTTTGAGCATATATATTTAGCTTGATTAACTGATCAGAATACAAAGACACTTCAAACTAAACTGTAAAAATATCTTCCTGGACACTGGGCACAATGTGATACTGTAACCAATAGCATGGAGGGAATAGGAAGAATTCAAACATTCCTCTTAAAGGTGGATGTTGCACTCTCTAGCAAAAAAAGAAAAATCTCTTTGGAGTAAGTCTTTGCATTTATTAGGACCAGACAGCTGAAATTTCATGTGCAACTCATGCTGTCAGGTTGTAACAGCAAGCACTTATGTAACGTGACAACACCAATTAATCTAAAAGTCATTTTTGAAGCAATCAGTTTGTTGCATACACACACACACACCAAATCTGCTTAAGTGGCACTGTGGTTATGTGACTGTGCTGTGCAGGTGAACTGTCCTTCTTGAAAAATTGTCACAGCAATAGTTTGAAGAGCTGAGCAGTCTGTTTCCCAAGATGTGCTGCCTCAAAACCCTAGCTCTTATTACTGCACACTAATAAGCACCTGATTCCAGTCCTTAGAAACTTTAATTTATATACAGCTTTTCCATTAAGCTATCAATGCAGACCTTGTATGCAAACAAGAGCTTAGTAGAGCTCTATAGAATATACTTATCATCAGTAGTACATC